GGAGGAGGAGGAGGAAGAGGAGGAGGAGGACGAGAAGGGCCAGAGTAAACCCGAGATGGATCCTTGATGGTGCAACGCCCCCCCACCCACCGTCCCAAGCCCCATTCCTCATACGTCCCCGCAGGTGATCCTTTTCACCGCAAGAGGCGCCCCCCTCGAAAGACCGGCGCAGTCGGGCATGTCTTTCGCAGAAGGACTACCCCGCATCCGTGCAATTGGGGCACAAGCTTACAGCTGTGGGCATGGACTTCAAGGAAGGCTTAAGCGATAGCTCCAGTTGGAAAATGGCCGCCCTGGTATGTGCAATGCTGCACGTGTTGGCATTTCGGGCCTTGGAAATTAAGGAAGCCTAGAGCGAGCATCATATTGTGAAAAAGAGCAGTGGTCCATCCTTCTAGATGTTGCGTAAAGGAACCGACGTACTTGTTACTAGACTCTGAGAAGACTGTGCGCAGCGCTAAGGCGAGAACACCACTTTGAAAAGGAACAACTTCTATCCTTTAAACATGAGGGGTTCCCACCTGTCTTGATTTCCGGCCTGGCCAATTCTCAAAGAGTGTTCGCCGTCGCACCGTCGGCTTTGCTTGCCTGGTGCGGTGCATTCATCTATCTTCGTACGCCCCCGGGCGCCGTCGCACCGATGCGTCTGCGCAAGTTCTGTCCATATGCCCCACGTGGGCGCCGTCGCACCCTCGGCTTGGCTCGACTGGCGGCATTCATCCACATCTATCTGTGCCACGCCCAGTCGCCGTCGCACGGACGCAGACTCGCATTCTATCTCTTATTTCTGCACATACATCTCCCTAGCGCGGCCATCTGTCATATGTTTCCAAGAACATGCGGTTTTCCCCATGTGGCTTCCATGGGTTTCTGTGACGGGCCCCAGATGGAAAACCAACTGAATAACTTTTTGTTGATTTTCCATTATGAGCGCGCGCGCGGGAATATGGGGAGTCCTGGGGCGATGTGACTCCCATGAGGGCTTCAGGACGGGCCCTGGGGGTACGAGGGGGCCATCAAGTGCTATGCTGGGGACGAGTGTCTAGAACAGCGTTTCCAAGGCGTCTGAACAGGTCACGCGTGGCGCACCCGATAGCGCAGATGACGCCAGTGAGTCCGACACCCGTGTATCTGGGCAGCGGGCTCATTAAAAAGAGCGCACGTCATCGAAACAGAGAGTTTGGAGGGGACACGGTGTAGCATACATTACAATATTACTGGTTGTAGCAGTACCCATGAGTAGCAGTACCAATAGCAGTAGGAATAGCAGCACCAGCGCTGGCAGTATCATATCCGTCGGAGTAGCAGCAACAGTAGTCGTAGCCGTAGTAGTAGTAGTAGTAGTAGTAGTAGTAGTAGTAGTAGTAGTAGTAGTAGTAGTAGTAGTAGTAGTAGTAGTAGTAGTAGTAGTAGTAGTAGTAGTAGGTAGTAGTAGTAGTAGTAGTAGTAGTAGTAGTAGTAGTAGTAGTCGTAGTAGTAGTAGTAGTAGTAGTAGTCGTAGTCGTAGTCGTAGTCGTAGTCGTAGTGGTAGTCGTAGTCGTAGTCGTAGTCGTAGTTGTAGTAGTTGCAGTAGTACTAGCAGTCGTATTATTATTAGTATTATTACTAGTAGTAGTCGTCGTCGTAGTCGTAGTCGTAGTCGTAGTAGTAGCAGCATTAGTAGTAGTGTTACTAGTCGTAGTAGTCGTAGTAGTAGTAGTAGTAGTAGTAGCAGCAGCAGCAGTAGTAGTAGTAGTAGTCGTACTAATTCTATTCGTAGTAGTAGTAGTAGTAGTAGTAGTAGTAGTAGTAACAGTAGCAGTAGTAGTAGTAGTAGCAGTAGTAGTAGTAGTAGTAGTAGTAGTAGTAGTAGACGCAGTAGCGGTCGTAGTAACAGTAGTAGTGTAGTATGTTTATTATTAATAGCAGTATTAGTAGTAGTAGTAGCAGCAGCAGACGTCGTAGTAGTAGTCGTAGTCGTAGTCGTAGTCGTAGTCGTAGTCGTAGTCGTAGTCGTAGTCGTAGTCGTAGTAGTAGTAGTAGTAGTAGTAGTAGTAGTAGTAGTAGTAGTAGTAGTAGTCGTAGTAGTAGTAGTAGTAGTCGTCGTCGTCGTCGTCGTCGTCGTAGTAGTAGTAGTAGTAGTACTAGTAGTAGTTGTTGTTGCTATCGTAGTAGTAGTTGTGGTAGTAGTCGTCGTAGTAGTCGTCGTCGTTGTCGTCGTCGTAGTCGTAGTAGTAGCCCGTGCTGGCGTCCAGCATACGAGTGGAGCATGTGGTGTTGCTCGCACTGTGTTCGGGATTACCTGTTTCAACCTTCTGTTGTTTCACATCATTGTGTGGGCCCGTGTTGGTGTTCCGACTACGGGTGCAAAAATTTGTTTCTCTCGCACTGTGTTCTGGGTGTCACGTGTCATTGTTGTGCTGATTATCGTTGTATGGCACCATGTTTGCCTTCATATTGCGAGTGGAACACTTGGTGTATTCCACGCTGTTATCGGGGTGACACGTGTCACCCTTGTGCGGCTTCACCTTTTTGGCCTTACGTCGCCTCCACCCCCAGACTACGAGTGAAACAATGTGTTTGTCTCACACGTTTTTTGGGTGGCACGTGCCACCCCTGGTTTGTTTTGCACATTGCATGGCCCCATATTGGCGTTGATATTGCAAGTGCAACGAATTGTTTCCCACACGGCTTTCGAGGTGACACGTGTCATTTGTGTGTTGTTTCACGCAATGTGGCCCCATGTTGGTTCTCAGAGCACGAGTGGAACAAGTGTTTTTGTCGAACGGTTTTCTGGGTGACACTTGCCACCCTTGTGTGGTGTCACACTGTATGACCCCATGCTGGCGCCCAGAGTACGAGTACAGACATTGCCTTTTCACGCGGATTTCGGGGTGACACGTGTAAGCCGTGCGTTGGTTCACATTATGCCACCATGTTGACGGCACGGTTACCGCTGAAACATTTGGTTTGCCTTACACTGCTTTCGGGTTGACACTTGTCACCGTCGTGTTGGCTTACAGTGTATGGCCCCATGTTGGCGCCCAGAACACGAGTGGAACAATCCGGTTTCCCCACACGGTTTTCGAGTTGATTATTGTCACCCTTGTGTTGATTCACATTGTATGACCACCACGTGTGCCACCAGAATGCGAGTGGAACAATTGGTATATCTCATATGGTGTTCGGGGTCACGCGTGTCACCCGTGTAATGTTTCGCATTGCTGCCCCCCCAGGATACAGGTGAAATGGTTGGTTTTTCTTTCACTGTGTTTGGGGTGACACGTGTCACCCGTGCGTTTTTTCACACAGATTGGCCCCATGTTGGTCTCCAGCATACTGGTGGGGCACGTGGTTCTTTCCCACACGGTCTTCAGGGTGGCACGCGTCACGTTTGTGATGTTTCGCATTGCATGGCCCCATGTTCGTGCCCAGGGTACGGGTTACAACATGTTTTTCACGATGCTCGGGGTGACAAGTATCACATTTGTGTTGTTTCACCTTGTATGGTCCCATCTTGGCCCCCAGGATACGTGGGAAACAAGTGTGTTCTCCCATACGGTTGTTCGGGGTGACTCGTGTCAACCTTGTTTTGTTTCACATCGGATGGCCCCATGCTGGCTCCCAGAATACGACTGAAACACATGGTTTATCGCACAAGGTTTTCGCGGTGGCAGTTGTAATCCTTCTGAAGTTTCAAGTTGTGTGGCCCCATGTCGGCATCCAGACTACGAGTGAAATAATTGTTTTTGTTCCAGCCCAATGCAAGCGTCCAGGATACGCGTGAACATTTGGTTGTTCTCACGCAGATTTCGGGGTGGCACGTGTCACACCTATGTTGTTTCACATTGTGTAGCCTTTTTGTTGGCGTTCAGAGTGCGAGTGGAAGACGCGTTTTTTCTCACATGGTTGTCGGGGTGACACGTGTCACCCTTGCGTTGTTTCATATTATATGGCCCCATGTTCGCGTCCAGAATACGGTTGAACCAAGTTGTTTCTCGCACGTTGTTTTCGGGGTGACACGTGTCACCCCTGCTTTGTTTCACACAGTATGGTCCCACGTTGGCTCCCAGACTACGGGTGGAGCCAGTATGTTTTTTTTTTCTCACGCAGTTTTCGGGGTGACGCGTGTTACTCTTTGTGTTGTTTCACATTGCGTAGCTTCTTTTTGGCGTTCAGAATACGAGTGAAACAAGTTGTTTTTCCCACGTGGTTTTCGGAATGCCGCGTGTCATCATGTTGTTGCTTCACACTGTATGGCCCCATGCTGGCGTCCAGAATGCGAGTCGGACAATTGTTTTTTCTCACACCGGGGTGACACGTGTTACTGTTCTGTTGTTTCACGCTGTATGGCCCCATGTCGGCGCCCAGACTACACGAGTGGAGCATTTGTTTTCAGTGTTCGGGGTGGCACGTGTGACGCTTGTGTTGTTTCACACATTTTGGCCCCATGTTGGCGTCCAGATTGCGGGTGAAACCATTTTTTTTTCTCGCGGTTTCGGGGTGACACGTGTCACCTGTGCGGTGGTTGTCTTCACACTGGTTTCGGGGTGACGCGTGTCACCCCTATGTTGTTTCACACTGTATGGCCCCGTGTTGGCTCCAGAATGCGAGTGGCATCATTGGTTTATCTCACACGGTTTTAGGTGTGACACGTGTCACCCCTGTGCGGTTTCACATTGTAGGGGCCCATGCTGGCGTCCTCAGTACCAGTGACCGCCGCTGTCTGCCGCACTTCTGGTAGGTCCACCGCAGGCTGGGTCCATCTGTCAGACCAACCTCCGTCGCCGTCGCGCGGCGCGGTGTGTGTGGGGAAAAAGCTGTGTATCTGTCGCGGCCCCGCCGGTCGCTGTCGCACCGTTAGCCCACGTGCGTGAGTTGTGCTGTCCATCTGTTTGGCCACCCCCCGTCGACGTCGCACCAGCAATACTGCGCGTCACAATGTTTGAAGTGAGCTGTCCACGGCGCACCCGTCGCACATCGCGTAGCTCAGCTGGTTGATTTCTTATTTGGTCCGTGCGGCGACAAGAGGTTTTTGCTCATCTGTTCACGACGGGCCCGTTGCCGCCACGCTGGGGAGATCCGGTCGGGTGAGGTCCCCTCGCCTTGACACGAATGCAACATGTTGACACGAATGTGCGCGGCGCTAATGCGAGAGCATCGTTCTAAAAACGATCCCCTTCCGCCCCTGAAGTTGCAGTGAAGATGCAAACCTTTAAGAGGAAAGAGCGTGCGTGGCACCTGGGCGAGCACCACATTTTGAAAACGACTTGTGCTCCATCCCAACAGTGGCTCTAATGCGAAAGTCAAATGTTATAAAAGGAAACAGCTTTCGTTGTTGAACGTTCTGCAAACATGTAAGACGGGTGTGCGCGGCGCTCAGGCGGGAACCGCATTTGCAAACGACGTGCGCTCCTTCTTTGTACCCGTTGCAAACGTTTAACCGAATGTGCGTGGATCTGATGCGAAAGCCACATGTTATAGAGCACCCGCCCTCCGTCTTTGAGCATGCTGCAAACATTTGAGGCGAGTGTGCGCTGCGCTCAAGCGAGGGCCACGCTGTGGGACATCCCCGCACCATTTTATTTTTGAAGTTGCTGCAAATATTGAGAGCGAATGCGCGGGGCGCGTGGGGAAATGAGCCGCCTTCCGTCCTTGAAGCTGTTGCGCACGTTTAAGACGAACGTGCGCGGCGCTCAGCGGCAGAAACCACATTTTGAAAGTGACCCACCCTCGATCCTGGAAGCTGTTGCAAGTCGCATGCTTCTGGATCATAAATGGTGTGGACGTCTCAGGAGGAACGACGGGCCCCTCTACCGACACGTCTGTGGGTGCGACATGGAGGAGTTGCATGCTCAAAAAGGAAAGGGATGGAGGAGGAGGAGAAGCAGGAAGAGGCGAAGGAGGAGGAGTTCGAGGAGGACGAGGACGAACGAGGAGGAGGAGGAGGAGGAGGAGGAGGAGGAGGAGGACCTGGACTAAAGGGGAGGAGGACGAGGACAAGGAGGAGGAGGAGGAGGAGGAGGAGGCAGAGGAGGAGGCAGAGGAGAAGGAGGAGGCAGAGCAGGAGGAGGAGGAGGAGGAGGAGCAGGAGGAGGAGGAGGAGGAGGCAGAGGAGGAGAAGGAGGAGGCAGAGGAGGAGGAGGAGGAGGGATGGAGGGCTTCGTGTGCCCTCGCCGCTTTTTGGGGGGCCCTGCGGAGGCCTCCGGGGACTTTCGGAGGCCTTCGGAGAGCGTCGGCGGCGGCGGCGGCCGACGAGGGGCCGCCCGTGGCCGCGGGGCGCCGGCGTCCGTGCGCGGGCTGCCGCCGCTGGCCGCGCTGTGGGCGGACCCGGCAGTGAGCTCCGCGGTGTTGGCGGGGTGCTCAGAGGAGGGGGAAAAACACACAGACACACTTAGTCGTCCTCCCAGAAAGTATGGGAAACTATGGGAAGTGGGGGGGAGGACAAAAGCCCAGAAAATGTGGGCAAAGGCGGAAAAGAGGGGGGTGATGACTAGGGGGGGTGATGACTAGGGGGGCAGTGAGCTCCGCGGTGCTGGCGGGGTACTCAGATGATCGGGCCTGGCGAAAGGGGGGGGATTGGGAAAGGGGGGGGTGCGAAATTTGCTGCACGCAGTTGGTTTCGGCCGCACCGAGGGGCCCATTCCTCGATACATGGCCGCCTCCGGCGCCGGGAGGCGCCGGGAAAATCAGCTACGTGAGCTGATTCTCACCCCCCCCCTTTGCTGCTATCCCCCTGGCGGGGTACTCAGATGATGGTCGGGGGCGGAAGAGAGGGGGGTGATGACTAGGGGGGGTGGATATCATCGCGTAGGCCATGATATCTCCCCAGATTTCACGGCGCCTCTTCTTGTTTCGTTACGTCCCTGGCCCCCCCGCTGGGCCGCGCACATGCCGCCGGCCATGATTTGCACCCCCCCTCTTGGACACCCCCCTCTTGGCCGCTCCCGACAGATGATGGGCTTGTTTTTCACCACCCTACCATAAGTTGGAGGGGGGAAGGAGGTGGAGGATGATGAGGAGGAGGAGGAAGAAGAGGGGGAGGTGGACCCCCTCACCACCTACCAAACCACCCCAACCCAACCAGAAGGCCTCAATTTGCTCTCCATTTCCAGTGGGGGGGGTCGGGGAACACTGAAAAAACACATACCCGAAATTCGGGTCTTCGGGATGGGTTGGGGTGGTCTGGTAGGTAGTCAGAATCGGTAGGACGGGAAAGGCTCTGGGGGGATGCATCGACCCCAAATCGCCCATTGATCGCCGATGGGGGGATTCTCTGTCGCAGGCCTGTCGCCGATCTATCGGCGGTTTTTCGCTGGTGCAAGCTTGATGTTTCCCCGCTCCTGAGCTGGTCCCCCCCTGCACGTTGCCCCTCAGGTACGGGGCGGACTTCGACCTGCTGGGCTACGACAGGGGCGGGGGCGACTTTTCCCGGGTCGGACGAGAGTGCCGGGGGCATCAGAGGGGAAAGGGCACCGATACCGTTGCTAGTCCTGGAGAGCCCTAGTCGCCACGGCTGGAGCCGTCTCGAGATCCTGGTCAGAACGCACCCCGGGAGGGGTCCGTGGAGTAGTGATGTGGGTGCGTTTTTTCCAGGCGATCGCAAACATGGATCAAGGGGGAACACGCCTCCCGCGATCCATGGATCTGGCGACCGCGCGCCACGTCCATGGATCGCGAGTCCAGGTTTGCGCGCCCCCGCGGGCTTGTTTCTCCAGCCAGTGCGGGGGCAGGGAGAGAGGGGCGTCCAAAGCTGCTGCGTGCAGCTGGTTTCGGCCCCGCCGCCGTGCGCGCTCCTCGGCGCAGGGGCGCCGGAAGGCACAGAGAGGCGCCGACAGGAACCAGCTACGTGAGCTGGCTCGCCAACCATATGTTTTGATACCCTCGGATCGGGCATGGCCCTCTATAGGAGGAGTACTCAAGCATAGAAGAAGATCAAATAATATGGGGGCGTTTTTTATTTGTTATGATTTCTGACTACTTCGGAGAATGGTTTGGCTCTTTTTCATCTGTATTCCAACATCCGCCTGTAGGAGGACGTGCCCGACCTAATGTTACCCCCACTTTCGTCCGACTCGACTGTCGCCAGGAGCCAAAGGGGTCTCTCCAATGATCGATCTTTCTGTGAGCTTGTCCGCATGGCTGGGCATCCAAGAGGATCCTCGTCGCAACGGCTGAATTTCCCCTCGATCTCCTGCTCAACACGTCGATTTCTCCTGTCCGCCATGAAGAAGAGGCGCCCCTCGCAAGGAGCGTCCTGGGCCATGCGTCTATGGGCCGACCTCTCTTGGAGCCCCTCTGGCTCGTGGTGCTCTTCCCGGGGCCAGCGCGAGCACCGAGCGAGCTGGGGAGAAATGAGACAGGCCGTGCCTCCGCGTGCAGCGCCCTCCTCGGCTTCGCGCAGGAGTGACCCTGCGCCAGGGTGGCCTCGAGTGCGGGCCCACAGGGGTCGAACCGCCTGCGAGTGCAGCCACTGGAGCCTTCGGTGGAGCTCCTTATGGGGCCACGAAGCGCTGTACTGGGTGCGTGACAGCACATGGGATCCTGATGCCCCAAAGCGGGACAAGCGTGACAACACTTGGGCTCCTAACGCCCCAGAGCGGGACAAGCGGGACAACACGTGGGCTCCTAACGAACCCAGAGCGAGGCAAGCGTGAAAACAAGTGGGCTCCTAACGCCCCAGAGCGGGACAGGCGTGACAACACGTGGGCTCCGAACGCCCCAGAACGGGAGAAGCGCGACAACACGTGAGTTCCCAACGCCCTAGTGCAGGACAAGCGTGAAGACACGTGGTTCCCAACGCCCCAGAGCGGGACAAGCGTAAATACAGTTGGCCCCAAACGCCCCAGAGCGGAATAAGCGTGACAACACGTGGGCTCCTAGCGCCCCAGAGCGGGACAAGCGGGAAATCATGTGGGTCTTTGACGCCCCAGAGCGGGACAAGCGGGAACGCATTTGGGCTCCTAATGCCCCAGAGCGGGAGAAGCGTGAAAACACGTATTTAAGTTCTTAACGCCCCAGAGCGGGAGAAGCGTGACAACACGTGGGCTCTTAACGCCCCAGAGCGGGACAAGCGCGAACACACGTGGGCCCCTAACGCCCCAGTGCGGGACAAGCGTGAAAACATGTGGGTCTCTGACGCCCCAGAGCGGGACAAGCGGGACAACATTTGGGTTCCTGACGCCCCAGAACAGGGCAAACGTGAAGGCATTGGGGTTCCTACCCAGAACGGGACAAGCGTGACAACACGTGGGTTCCTAACGGCCCAGAGTGGGGCAAGCGTGAAGGCACTCGGGTCCGTAACGCCCCAGAGCGGGACAAGCGGGACAAAACGTGAGTTGCTTGACGACCTTGAGCGGGAGAAGCGTGACAACACGTGGGCCCCTAACGCCCCAGTGCGGGACAAGCGTGAAAACATGTGGGTCTTTGACGCCCCAGAGCGGGACAGGCGTGACAACACGTGGGTTCCTAACGCCCCAGAGCGGGCGGGATAAGCGTGAACGTAGTTGGGTTCCGACCGCCCCAGAGCGGGGCAAGCGTGACAACACGTGGGCTCCCAACGACTCAGAGCGGGGCAAGCTTCGGGCGCACACAGCACCAGCATTAATCGGGCATGGAGGTTGCATGGTGGATTTTGTTGGACAGATTCCCACGGGCATTCCACACCTTATGCGTTGTTCTACAAGCTAGGGTGGCTTGACGTGACTGGACCCGCCATCGTTGTCTATGTGGGCGTCAAAGCATGTTGGGCGCGTTGTTCCTATTGGAGTTGGGCGCTTGCGTTCTCTTTGCTGCGGCGCGCGATCCGTCCTCCTGTCGCTTCTCTCCACGCTTCATTGTTCGTTCCTCCTCCGTTGGGCTGGCTCGCCCCTTTTTCGCAATTTCGCGCTTGCGGCCCGCCTGACTGCGCCGCCAGATGTGGCGACCTCGCGCGCCCGCTGGATTAATCTGCACCGCCGACCACGCATTTCGCTCCCGAGGATGGTGGCCCAGCTTGGCTTTCTAGCCGTGGTAGGCAGGTTCGCGTGCGATCCGCTTGTCGCGCGTTCCGCATTGCAGTGCGCGCCCGTCGTCCATGATTCCCTCTCTCATCATAGATTTTGTGCCCCTCAAGCGAAATCGGCTGCTGCTTTCGCGGGGGCCAGCGCGGTAGCCCTTTGCATTGGAAAAGGCGCGCCCCAGTCGCGTTTGCTTCCCAAGCTGGGCCCCCACCGCGGCCGTAGTGGGGGCAATTGCACGCATGTCGTTTTCACATTCACGTCCGTCGCTGAAGGTCTTCGTGCCCAATGGACCCGCTGCGCGGCTCCGTAGGGGGCGTTCGCAGGCGGCCGCCCTCGTTGCCCCGGCGCACCCGGCAAGTTTTGCACCTCGCAGGCATCCATTCAGTGCGCGGGTTCGCCCGCGGCTCACGGGTCTGATCCGCGTTCCTGGGCCCTTCCTAGGGCTCTCTTGGGCCAGCTTGGAGTCATCTTGAGGCTTCATCATCACCCCATTGGAAGCGAAAGAGTGGGAAGGCTAACAACATTCAAAACGACACGTGCGTGAAGGATTTTGGCCTCGTGGGGGCCTCTTTGGGAGGGTCCAAGGCCATTTCGATTCGTCTTGGAACGGTTTTGGGGCCTATTGGAAGCATGTCGGAGGTCACCTTGAACCATCTTGGGCTCCCAAGTGCCATCTTGAAGGCAATCCTGGGCGATGTGCAACCGTCTAGGGGCCATCCGAGGCCAACAGGGATTCCCTCACACCTCGCGCCCCCTCCTCCAGACCAGTGGGGAGGGGGTAAGGGGCCGGGGCACACGCCGCCCCGAAAAGAAAGATGGGGGTTAGAAGAACGAGCTCGTTGAACCACTTACGCCTAAAGGGCTGGTGGGATTTACGAGGGGTGCTGGCTTCGGGAGCGCGAGTGCGTCGTACTTTACGGGGTGCCGCGGCCTCGAGAGCGCGGGTCTGTCGTATTTTTGCGTGCCCCAGGACCCCCCCAGAAATGCAGGCAACGCGATTCCGAGGCGGTGAATCAAACGTTTCTGCATAATGCGTTCGCGCGCGCAGCATCAGTTTGCAAGTAGGGCCAGCTGCCAGAAACCAGGCCGTGGGAAGTTCGAACTGTTACAGGCTGCGGGAAAGCCTCGGCCTCGTAGCTTGTTGGCCCCCAATGGGGCCGGCGGATTTTGAGTCCTCGGTCTGAGTAGGAGGAGCCCCACCTTCTGATGCAAGGGGCCGGGGCGCCGCCCGCGCCCCGGCGGCATAAAGCGGACCCGCGGCGTTGGCAAAGACGCCGCGGGCGCTCCTCCCTAAGGCGCCTTGAGATACAGGCAGCTGTTTTCGCACCCTCATCACCGATCTCGCACCCCCAGGGGCGCGAAGATAATCGCGCATCGCGTATCGCGGCCTGCGCGGGGGGGCTGCCTCTTTCCAAGTGGGCGGCGCGAGGGCGTGAATAACTCGAGGCGGCATGGACAGCCGCGGAGCGGCATGAAAAAGTGCGCGGCACACGTTCCAGGTGGCGTGGCGACCACGAAATCATGTGTATGGCAGAAATGCGCGGCGATTTACGCCCCACGGCCGCACGTCTCTCGGCGAGTGGGATTGTCACGGGCGACCGTGCAGGGAGCGGCGCCCCAAGGAGGACATCCTGCTCCTCCTCCTGCTCCTCCTCCTCCTCCTCCTCCCTCCTCCTCCTCCTCCTCCTCCTCTCTCTCTCTCTCTCTTTTTCTCTTTCCCTCTCTCTCTGCCTGCCCCAACCTAGGTGCTCCCATGGTACAGCCGCGAGGGGTCTTGTGATGCGGGCGGGGGGATGAGGACAGTGGAGGCGCAGGAAGGGAGGAGGACGAGGAGGAGGAGACGGAGTGGCCCCGCAGCGGCGTCCTGGGGTCGCTGGCCAGAGGCTCGGGCAGCTTGCGTCGGTGACCTCTTGGGGCCCCCAAGCGGCCTCCCGAGGTCACCGGTCGGAGGTGCCCACGGCTCGCGTCGGTGATCTTCTGGGCCTCCTATAGCGGCCTGGTGGGGTCACCGGTCGGAGGTCCCCACAGCTTCCGTCGGTGACCTTCTGGGGCCCCCTAAGCGGCCTCTTCGGGTCACCAGCTGGAGGTTCCCGCAGCCTGCGTCAGTGACCTTTTGGGGCACCCAAGCGGCCTCCCGAGATCACCGGCTGGAGGTTCCCACAGCGTGCGTCGGTGACCAGGGGGGGCCCCCCAGCGGCGCCCTGAGGTCAGAGGTTCCCGCAGCGTGCGTCGGTGACGCTAAGGGGGTGGGAGGGGGAGGGGGAGGTGGAGGAGGACGGAGGGGGTAAAGGGGGATCGGGGCTAGAAGGAGAGGAGGGGAGGAGGAGAAACATGTCTACCATAGCTGAGCGGTTGATGAAGATGGGGGCGAGGGAGCGGGATGATCATATGGATGACGATGACGACCTGGAGGCAAGCAGGAACAGGAGTGGCACGATGGCTCAGACTTTTCGCCAATCGCTACACGTGGCGGCCTATCGCCGCTAATTGCCGCGATCTACCACTATTTGCTTCTCAACCGCCACCATTTTGATATCAACAAGCTTCCATATAAAAGGGAACCGAAGGTATAATGCTGTAGCCACGTGTTGCTTCTTTGCTTGAGGGTCTCGACCGCACTGAACTTTTCGCAGCTGCATTCCTGGGTGCTTGTGATGGAATATCAATGCCCTTTGGGAGGATTGCTGTGTAGTTTTGGCTCGAATATTAGAGGCCCCCAAGACGGCTCGAAAACTGCCCCCAAATACCCCCAAGACCGCATCTCCAACATGCATCCGAGTGGCTCCAACACCTCCCAAAGTCGGCTGCTGGTGGATGGGCAGCTCGTCAATGGTGCCCCCCGAGAAGCCGAAGCCCTGCTGGTGCGACCCGGAGGGGTTGTCTGGCCTTTGTTGCGCCGTGATTTGGCCCCAGGTGCGTGGCCAGAAGTGTGGGGGGGGGGCTTTCGCGTGTACTATGGTGCCAGACTCGGGCACACCTCTTTTTTGTTCTGCTGCTCTTCCGGTCCTCGGGCGGACCCAGGGAAGCGCCAGGAGCTTTAGAAGAAGCCTCCAGGACTCCCCTTGACGTCGCCGGGATCCCGAAATTTAAGTGCCGCAGGTACCACTACGAACCCCGCAAGAGTTTTAGATTATCTATTTGCGATGCGAATTCTTTGGGCGCGGCTAGAACCTAAGCGCGCACAAAGCGCGCGCGGTTCTAGTAGAAGGATGTCCCGCATCGGTCAACAGGCCTTTCCGACTTTGTGTGTATGTATTCTGTGTCGTCCAGTGGGCTCGAGGGAGCCCGCGCGCCTTATACATGCGTATGGATTGCGGATGTGCCTCCCTCTGCGTGCATTTCCGAGTTCTAGGAGCGGGGCATGTCTGTTGGGCAGGGGCCAGACTGCGGCTTCGCGCCCTCGGAAGGGTGCGGTGCTCAAGCGCGGAATCGTGCGAGTAGGTGCTCTTGGCCCGACGTGGGATGTGGTTGCAGTGTAGCGTTTGGCCAGCCATTGCCAGTACCAGTTGGAGAGGAGGAGGAAGAGGAGGAGACGCAGGAGGAGGAGGAGGAGGAGGAGGAGGAGGAGCCAGGCACAACAGTCGTCATCACCGAATGTCGTTGCAAAGCGAAGATGGAGGAGGCGAAGGCGGCGGCGGAAGAAGAGGAGGAGGAGGAGGAGGAGGCGGATGATAAGGGAGACGGTGATGAGGGTGATGACGATGACGATGAGGAGGAGGAGAAGGAGGAGGAGGAGGAGGAGGAGGAGGAGGAGGAAGAAGAGGAGGAGGCGGATGATGAGGAGGAGGAAGGGTAGGATGTGGTAGAGGAGGGGGATGGACAGCAGGATCAGGGAACATAAGGTGTATGCGGATGAGGATGAAGCAGGTGTAGGAGGAAGATGAGGGACAGCAGGATGGGGGGCATGAGGACGAGGTTGACGGCGAAGGCGAAGAGGAGGAGGAGGAGGAGGAGGAGGAGGAGGAGGAGGAGGAGGAGGACGACCACGACCACGACAACGGGCAGCCTGCGGCAGGCTGCCGCCCGAGTGGCGCGAGGCGCGCACGGCCATGATGCGCAACCTGCCCAACAAGTACACCCAGCAGATGCTGCCCGGCCCTCGGGGCGGCGCTTTCCTTTGGCCGCCGGCCCACGCGCCGTCGGGGGGAGGCCCACGGCCAGCGGGCCGCGGGCCGGGACGGCCCTCCGCCCTCCTCTCCCTCCTCCCCCTCCTCCCCTCCTCCCCCTCCTCCCCCCCCTCCTCCCCCTCCTCCCATCCCCCCCCCCCCCCCTCGTCCCCATCCTCCCCATCCCCCCCCCCTCGTCCCCATCTCCCATCCCCCCTCCCTCTCCTCCCGCTCTTCGCCCTCCTCCCCCTCCGCCCTCCTCCCTCCACGGCCTCCGTACCCGTTTTGGCTCAAGATGTTTATCGCCCGTGGCAGAGCACGGAGACCCCTGGTCCAGGGACAGCTTCGGACTGCAGCTTTCGCCTTCCTCGCGCCCGCGTGGCTGTGCTTCATACCTAAACGACCACCCTTCGGGTGATAAGCAGGTTGGGGGGAGGAAAGAACCAACTGATGGCAACTGCGACGGTTGTGATGATGACGATGCTGGTGATAAGCCCTCGAGTTGGCGACGTCGCGAGATCACAATGCTGCGTCGTGATGTGATCTCAGTGTCAATCTCTCTATATCGATCTCACTTTCAATCTCACTATCGATCCCACTCGATCGGCCTCACCATCGATCTCGCTACCGATCTCACTCAATCGATCTCACGATCGACCTCATGGCCAATCTCACTACTCCACCAAACACCACCGGGACACCATCGACGCACCGCCTTGACACCGTCGAGGCACCACCAGGCAATGAGGCCAGACAAATACCATCACTATTGTGCTGAGATGGTTGGTGCTGAGTGTGATGTATGGTTGCTTATGGTAAGGTGATGACCGCGGTGGTAATGAGCGTGGTGGTGGCAGCAACGGCGGTGGTGTTGAGAGTACGATCGGAACACCATCGGAATACCATCGTGCCAAATAAATGCCACCACCACTGCGCTGCGATGGTTGATTGCCGAGCGTCGTGGTTTCATGCTGGTGGTTACGTGGTGATTTTTCTGCGCTCGCTCCACTGCCTCCAAGTGAACTCCGCGCTGGTGGCCCGAGCTGGCGGCGGCGCCCAAGGCAAGCTCAGGGCCTGGTGCCGTGGGCGCCTGCGTGCCGCCGAGCCACGAGAGCCACGAGAGCCACGCAGACCGGCCAGCTCAGACGACCAGCAGACGCCCACAGGTATGGATGGCGCCCTGCTTACACGGGCAGAGCACGGCGCGGCCAGCCAGCGGCCCCGAGCCGGGTGCAGGCGGTGCACACTTGCGTCGCCGAGGTGCTCGCAAACCGCCTGCAGTGGCAGACCCTGGTGCAGGAGTGCAGGAGTCACGCCCCTCGTGGCAAGTACACGCAGTGGACATCATTGCTGTCCATGTGGATTCTGTGGTCCGCGCCTTCGGGCCCACACGGTGAAACCGCCCACGTCCCAAGCGCCACCGAGCGAGTGAAGGGGGTGATCGTTGTGCGAATGCCCAAATCCATGGCGACGCACAGGACGACCAGCTCGTCGGCGTATTCTCTGCTGGCCGACCTGGACCCAGCCGGCGTGCATCTCCTCCGTGCGCGCGGGGCCTCGACCGGCCAAGCCGTGCATAGTCGGCCTTGGGTAGCATCGCGGCGGCCGCGTTTGGAGGGCCTCCGCCACCCGGTTCGGTGGAGCAGGGCGCACGCTGCCATCGATCGATTCTTGCACGCCCTTGGCCACGAGCTCGCTCGCGGACTTCCGCACCGCGCAGGGGCCTGGCAGGGCCTGGGCCAAACATGTGCGGCGCGCACTCGACCGGACCAGCTGCCAGTCACAACCAGAAGCACGCACTCGTCGTGAACCCCGCAGCCTGTCAGAGGTCCCGTGCATGCGGGTCGAAGTTGAGCTCGCTCCGCGCGCGCTGCGAATACCGCGTCGGCACCTCGCCTCCCCCAGCGCCTCTGCATCCGCGCCCAGGACGTTCCATCGAACATGGCGGCGGAACCGCTCACTGGAGCTGTTGGCACGCAGTTTTTGGCCCGGCGCAGCGTCGGACCCCCTTGGCGGGCGCGCCCTTCTTCTCCGCGCGAAGCGATGCCACAAAGCTCCATAGCCCGCCAGCTTTGCGACCCGACTGTTGCTCGCAGTACCGCGTCGCACTGTCAGAGACTGGCGCCACGCCCGCCGCGGACGCATCGCTATCACGTCGGTGATCTCCGCGTCTGTCGGGCCCTGGCCCTCTTGCGCCAGAGTCCGCGCTTGCAGCTTGCAGGTGCCTCTCGTGCTCTGCCAACAGCGCCTCATGCGAGGTGCCACGCCGCTCCAACTGCTTGAGGAACATGGAATCCGCCCACCGTTCGATTCGGCTCTCGCAGAGAACTCACGGGTCCAGCGCGCTGCGAGAAAATCGGCCAATGTCGCAGGCCTAGAGGTTGACACCAACACCAACTTCGTCGGTGTGCATCCACCGAGGGAAGAAGATCCCGATCCCGGTGATGGTGGTAATATTCTGGTTTCCAAGGTGGCCCAAATATTACCACCAACACCGAAATCCAGGATCATCTTCCCCTTGTGGAGGACCCCCCCCCCTTGTGTTGGTGTTGGTGCCCCTTTCCAGGCCTCCAACAATGGAGGCAGCTGGCGGAGCGCCATGCGGCTCCAGCTCGCTGCTCGCGGCTCGCGCGCCCGCGCCGCAAGAAAGCGAGCCCGAGCTCGGCGCGCGCCCGCCGCACTCGGCTCGACGGAGACGCTGCGTTCCCCGTGCGCTGCGCTGCCCCGCGACCTGTGGACGGTGAGGGCCCAGGAGGGAACAAAAACACACAGACACAATTAATCGTCGATCCCCCAGAATGTGGGAAACTATGGGAATTGGGGGGAATTGAAAAACCCAGAGACATGGGAAAAGATGGGGAATCCTCTTATTTGTGTGTGCATTTACTTGTGTGTCCCAGGGCCCCTTCAAGAGCCCAAGCCGACCGCAACGGCAGGCTCGCCCGAGTCACGGACTGCTCGGTCTTCTGTTGCACTTCGGCGCGGGGAAGTGGCACCCAGGACAGGGGAAGGCCGTCGAAACAAGCAGGGCCCCCCGAAGTCCGGGACGGGCGCGACCCCGAAGTCTGGAGCAGGGCAGAGGTGCCCGCCGCCCCCCCCCCCTCCCTGGGGTGCGCCCCGAGAGCGGAGCTCGGGTGCCCAGTACTTGCGACGTCGGTGCCATCAGTTGGTTTCCCATCCGTGGAGATGGAAAGGATGGCCGCAACCACGCCCCGGGCGCCATTCGTGAGCCCGAGGGGGACGGTGGGCACACCCCAGGTGCGATTCTGCGTCAGCGCCACCCTCGCCCCGACGCAGAGATGCAACGCGCGGCGCACCTAGCGAAAGTCATCGGCCGGCTCGTGCAAGCCGCGAGGGTCGTTGCGCCGTGCCTCGATCTTCGCGACAACTCCCGCTGCGGCGCTCGGCGCAGCCGTGACGCGCAGAGGCGCCCTGGCTGCCAGTTGCTTGCTGTTGAACTTCCCAGCAGCAGCGTTCTCCAGGGCGAGCACCACTGCCTCGCGGAACAAGTTGTCGCCCCTTTCCCAGGAGCAGTGGCTGGCAGAGCCTGGCCCAGATTCCTGGAGCACGTCGAGCTCGCGGGTCTTCCGCAACTCGTAGTCCTCCCGTGTGATCGCTGCGTCTCGGAATCTCATCGTTGATTCCTTGAAAGCGTCGACGCCCTTCTGGCGGCGAATGCGGCGCAATCGTATCGCGTCATCGATCTTGGCGAGGGTCTGCCGCCCCGCTAGGCCAACGGCTTTGGCGGCAGCACCTCTCCGTCGAGCAAAGGCGCGCCCGCGAGGAGGCTGGTCGCGAGCACGGGCGGCAGCTGCGCAAAGTCACCCGCAAGAACAACCCCGACACAGCCGAATGGATGCATGCCCACAAGAGGTGACCTGCGAGACTGCCTGCGCCACAGAACGCGCGCAATCTCCTGCGCGCGAAGGCCGATGATCTCGAGCGCACCGGCGCCGCAGGCGGGCGCCTCGTCGACCGCCAGCAGCTCCGCGGCCTCGAGGAGGTCGACGAGCTCACCCAGGCGATCTCCAACGAGATCTTCGGCCGCAGACGCACCATTGGCGTGGAAGATTGTCGAATGACACAGGCTCCGCTGCTCAGCTTAGCGGCAGCGACGCCAGCGAACGCCGTGGTGTCGACGCTCTCGCACGACTTGAACCTCCTGCGGACCTCGTTGGCGGCGGTCCTGGCGGCGCGCGTCTCCCCCGTGCTAGCCGCGGACAAGACGGCAAGTGAAGCGAGGCCTGGAGCTCGCCCCGCCCGTGGGCGCCGGCAGAGCATGACGCCCCGTAGACGCCGGCAGGGCCTGGCGCCGCTCGCTGCTCCTCCCACTCCGCAGGCGCGTCCGCCAGAAGAGCGCGCCCACTGGCGAGCAGGGCGAATCGACCCCCGCCCCACCGCGTCGGTGCCGACAATGTCTCGCGCGCGCACGGATGCTGCGGGATGCCAGCGTAGTCGACGCCGCCCGGCTCATTTTGGCCCGCGAGAGCTCTTCGTGTCTGCGTCCACGGCGTTTGCGTAGTCGGTGTCTATCTCCGTGGTCAACGTTCTGTCAAGAGCGCTCTCCGCTCGTTCGGATGTCGCTCGAGCATTCTGCGGGAACGCCCCCAGGCTCGCGGCGCGCGCTATCAGTTTCTGCGGGCGCGGGCGCTCGCCGAGGTCGTCGGCGCCGTCGTCTTCGCAGCCAGACGCACCCCCGGGCCCCTCGCGGCCTGCTGCCGAAACTCTGTTGGGCCGGCGCGCCAAGCGCCCTGCAAGAATGCCCTTCTCGTCGGAGAGATTCCCGCGGCATGTCCAACCCGCGCGGCTGAGCATGCGGAGGGTGCTCTGCAGCTTGGTCTTCGCGGGGATTCGGAAAGACCGCAGGGGGGAGCCGGCGTCGGCGCTGCCGCGCTGCGCGCGCAGGGCGGACATGTCATGATGCATCGAGGGCGCGGATGGCACTGCGACCCCTGCCGCACGGAGCGCGACGTGGAGCTCTCTGCGCGCCCGTGGCAGGTCCTTCCGGGCGAAGGCCACCATGGCTTCCCGGATCTTTTCGTGCTCCTCATCTTGTAGCGCTGCTGCCCCGTCTCGCGCCTCCGCGCTGTCGGAGATTGCCCGGGGCTCCGCTTTGCGCCGCGCCTCGGTCGCCTCTTCTTGGTCCAGCACCGCCATGGCCTCCCGCGTCTTCTGCCTCTAGCCCGCGACCTCATCCGCGAGTCTGATTCCACTGGGGCGATGGCCGGTGTCACCTGGGAGGTCGAGTGTTTCTTCTCCTCCGCCCGCCTCCGCCCAGCCACTGCCGAGTGCCGCGCCTTCGCGCTCTTGGGAGCTTTAGGGGTTAGGGGCTCTCTTGGAACCATCTTGGAAGACATCGATCAAACAGGAGGGGAGCTTCAATTAGCCTTGCCCTTCCAGAGTGCCTAGAATCGCCTCTCGGGGCGCTCTTGGATCGCTCTTGGGCGCTTTGGGGGCCGTCTTGGGGCTCTCTTGGGCCCTTCTTGGGGCCCTCGTGGGCCATCATGGAGCCATATTGAGGCCTCGGATGGCCATCGAAATCAAAACGGCGAGACAGCAACTAACATTGGTTGTTCTCAGGTGTCGGAAGGATTTTGGCCTTTGCGGGGCCTCCTTGGGGAGCTCTTTGGAAATTTGGAGCCGCCTTGAGGCGGTCTTGGGGCCACTTGGAGCATCTTGGAAGCCACCTTGACCGATCTTGCGTTATCTTGGGCCATCTTGGAGGCCATCTCGGGCTCTTTGAGGCGCTCTTGGAACCGTCTTGGACCATCTTGGGCGCTCCGCCCCCTCGCGACCCCCCCCCGTCCAGGTCCAGGGCAGGGGGCAAGAGGGAGGGGTAAGCCCCTCCCCGGAGGGGAAGAAGGAGGCCGGAGGAGAAAGCTCCCCAGACCACCTGCGCCCTGACGGGCCGGCGGGCTCTGCTTTCGGGCTCGTATCCGGGGGGTCGCGTTTTTCCTCCTTCTCCTCCCCTTCCCCCTCCTCCTCCTCCTCCTTCCCTCCCTCTCCAGGCGGCACCGCCTGCCCAGAGCCGGTTTCGCCGAACAGCGTGGAGCCACCTTTGCCCGAAGCCAAGCCTATGAGCAGCCCACTGGCCCTGGCCACCTCCGAGGGGTCGCCCCTCGGAGGCGACAAGCCTGGGCGGAGGGCGGGGGCGAGGAGCGGAGGGCCACGGCCGAGGGCACATGGCGGCGGCCCCCTGGCCAGGGCCGGGAGGGCCGCGGGGGGGGGCCGCAGGGCCAGGGCCGCCTGCCGAGAAGGGCCCGCCCCCTTCCGCCCGTGGAGCGTCGGGGCCTTCCGGGCGCCTCGG